TATGGTATGTGTGGTGCCATCCATTTTGAATCTCATTTAATTGATTTAATTGTATGATTAATGTAAATGTGTTTGCATTAAAGGGTGACTCCGGTGGACCACTTGTCCAATTGAATCCGAAGGACAACCGCATACAACTCGTAGGCATTGTATCGTTTGGCTATCCCTGCGCTGTAAAGGATATGCCGGGAGTTTATACCAGAGTTTCAAATTATATCGATTGGATCATTGAGGCCACTAAAGAGCATACGGTTGCTTAGACTCTAAGCCTTACAGACATTGTTAAATAAATTGCAAATTGTGTTTTGCTAAAAATGTTTCACTTTTAAAATTTTTTTGTTTAAAAATATTTAATAAAATTACAGCAAAACTATTGTCGATATTAAAACTGCTGTTTATATAAATTGGTATGTCGTAAAATTAATTCTTTTTTTAATCAATTCTAAACCCATATAATTTTTAAATCAGTAAATTAATATACGGTATTTATTCAAATAAGAACAAACATGTTCCACATTATAGTTAATTTTATTTTAAAAATATTTAATAAATAAATTTATTTGTGTTTTTGAAAGAAATACCAGGAATTAAATGCTGAGTAAAAATGAAAAGTTTGTCAATAATAGCAATAATAGGGCTAATAATGTATGTGAATAGTGTTTACGGGAAATCACTTTCAATGATACTAAAGGAGAAGCAAAGCGATAACGAGTCGAGTATTGATAACGTTATGTACGTTAAAGACGAAGACCAGGGAATGTTTGGTCTGATCGGTGAGAATCTGAGTCACATTCAGGACATGGTTTACGACGCGAACAATCAGCTCAAGTCGATGATGGAGTCGGGAGGCCTTCCTGTCATCAAACAGTCCATCGATATGTTAAAGCTATGGCAAAGACAGGCCAACAGATTCACCAAATCGCTTGGTTTTATGTTTGGCTAACTAATGTTCAACTAATTGTTAATAGTTAAATAAGTTACCATCTTAAAATTTGTACAATAAAATTATTAACTATATGCTTTTAAATATGTTATTTTCTTGCTTGTAAATATTTATTACGATTAAAAGTATTTTCATTATTCATTAAGTAAATTTGTTATTTAAGTATGTTTACGGTAATGGTAAGATACAATTATTATTATTATTATTACTATTAATTTCATAGTTATACAATATAATTTTATTATATTTTACTTTTGTATTGTGGAAACATGTCAACATGTTGATTAAAAACCCAAATATAGATTACAATATATTCATAATATTTTTAAAAACATTTTAATTGTTTGTTTATAAATATAGAGTATTTAATATTATGAGGATATAAAGAGTTAATTCATGATAATTGTAAAAATTTAAATATTTGTAAGCTATATTTATTTGTGGGAAACAATATTGGTTTTTTGTTTCGCATTTCTTAATCATATTCACAACAGTATATAATAATGAATTGGGGTTTGAAATTATTGTTCACATTAACAAATTTTTACATCAACTAAATATAATTGCAAATATAAGTATTGTGTCCACGAAAAACATCTTGATTGCAAATTTTTAACACATCAATTGACAAAACGCTGTGACAAACATAAATATGTCAAAACAATCGATGGCCGGACAGTTGATAGATGTGGACGGATATAAAATTCATTACGAAAGGGTCGGCACTGGACCTAATGTTATACTTTTACTGCCCGGCGGTCTCGGTAAGTGATGTTATGTTGTATTATAAGTAATAATAACTTTTGATATTACTTTCTAAATGAAGGAACCACTCGATCAGACTTTAGTATACAATTATCCGAAGACAAAGGCTTTAATGGGCGCAAATTCACTATGATCGCTTGGGATCCGCCGGGCTATGGCTTTAGTAGACCTCCAGTCCGAGAGTACAGCAAAGATGTCTATAAACGAGACGCCTATTTGGCCGCAACCCTAATGAATGTTTGCATCAATTAAATAGCAATTTTGTTTAATATATTTAATAATATTTATAACATTTTATATATGTTAACAGAAATTGGGGTTTAAATTGTATTCAGTGTTGGGTTGGAGTGACGGCGCAAAGACTGGTCTTCTAATGGCAATCAAATATCAATCAAATATCGAGAAACTTGTGATTTGGGGCGGAAATGCATATGTCTTACCACAAGAAAAATACGCGATCCATGCCATCAGAAATATATCCAAATGGAAACGACAAACACTTATGTTCTTTGAGTCGGTTTATGGCAATGAATTACAGGTGCTGTGGAATCGACACGTAAACCATTATATGAACAATTTGGACGATATCTGCAGGAATGAGGTCCACAAGATTCGGTGTCCAACACTAGGTAACAATTATTATACACTTACATGTTTTTACATTTATAAACAATTTTGTATTCATATGATTAATGTAATAAACGTAAAAGTGCTACATGGTGATTTGGATCCATTACCTGAAGAACACCCGCTATTCCTAACCGATAAGATATATGATTCCCAGTTATATCGGTTCACTCGCGGCTCACATAATATACACCAGGAATGTAGCGATGAATTCAATAGAGTTGTCACCGATTTTCTCTTAGAAGATAACTATTAGTTAAATGTTTGTCTTCGATAATTATTATTAGTGCTAAATATTTTATTAAATTAATTAATAACTAAATTGTAATAGAATTTAATTTATTATATTTTTACTATACACATGTATTATGCAATATTATATAAGTTTATTAATTTCTATTATGATCATTTATTTTATTTATAAATCATTAAAAAAAATATTTTACTATTTTTAACTGTTTTGTAATAATAATGTAATTTCTGTATAAATGTTTACGTTGAGTAGAGGAATTTGTTTTTTGTTTAAAACCTGTGGGTTGTAAATATGTTTACAAATTTAATTGTTATTTAATATTAAAAATTCACAGAATTGCTAAAGTATTGCTTATTTATATTTAGCATACGTTTATTAAATATAATTTTAACAACATTTTTATTAACTTAAGATAAATATAGCCTTTCGTCGCTTTGGTTTTTATACTATTGTGTGTAAAGAATTATGTAAATTATTCAATATTTGTAATAAAAGTGTTACTAGTTTTGTTAAATAAGTTTATTTAAAATAAAATATTGCTAGTTTAGATTATGTTACTATTAATACATTTTTCTTTGTGTTAATAATATGCATTTTCTGAAATAATATTGTTTTTAGCACTTATGCAATAAATAACATTCCAGGTTGTGAAATAAATGGGGTTTATTATAAGTTGAATTAAATAAAATTTATTATATTCTGTATAATTACGCTACCATCATAATATTATTATGCAGTATTTTGTTTGCGTCAATAATTTGACTCATATGAATTACAAAATAATATTACTTATTATTTTAAAAACAATATTTTTTCATTTATTTAAACTGAAAATATGTTATCTAATATTTATCATAAAAATTTTATCTAATATTTTGAATTATCACTAAAAATAGAGCTCCTAATGAAAATAGGCTTAATCTATTATGATTAAGGTATTATAGCATTTAAAAATGTTGGGAAAATCTTTAATTACTAAATGAATTCACAAATGTTTGAAAAATTCAATGCCTGTTAATATTTATATTGAAACACCCCTTTGTTGAGCCACTTGTTTGAAATCGTGGCCAACATTTTCGTTGATTTCATCAAAATATGGTAATTCTGTCTTCAATTGATTGAACCATTTCTCTAGATTTGGATAATCATTGAAATCGCGGTAATCAGTGATTGACAGGAGTGTAGTCGTTGCCAACAATGACAAGTCAGCTATTGTCAAGTNTTTGTTGAGCCACTTGTTTGAAATCGTGGCCAACATTTTCGTTGATTTCATCAAAATATGGTAATTCTGTCTTCAATTGATTGAACCATTTCTCTAGATTTGGATAATCATTGAAATCGCGGTAATCAGTGATTGACAGGAGTGTAGTCGTGGCCAACAATGACAAGTCAGCTATTGTCAAGTGATCGCCGCCAGCGATATACTTGTTATCGCCAATCAATGTGTCGATTGTTTTTAGCGTGTTTTTAAAGGTCTGGATATTATGCTCAGTCGGTTCGCGGGCCCAGAATATTCTACTTACCTAATTATATATAAATGATTCGTTTTAAATCAACATAAATTAGATATAATTACTTATCATAATCACTTAAATAAATAATATATTTTATGATTCGAGTTAATTACATACGAGTACATCAGCGG